AGGAGGCACTCACTCATCTCAGCCAAGAAATTTGGAGGACCGCTATCTGGCCTACTGATTGGAAGAGAACCATATTTGTGCCCATTTCAAAGAGAGGTGACCCAACGGAATCTGGAAATCATCGGACAATCTCTTTGATATCCCATGCAAGTAAAATTTTGCTAAAGGTAACACAGATATGGCTACAATCATACATAGACAGAGAATTTCCAGAGGTTCAAGCCAGATTCAGAGGAGACCGTGGAATGAGGGATATCATTGCTGATGTCCAATGTGTCTTGGCTGAAAGCAGAAAATATCAGAAAGATGTTTACCTGTGCTTTATTGACTACGCAAAGGCTTTCGATTGTGTGGATTATGACAACCTATGGACAACATTGCAAAGTATGAGTATTCTGGAACACTTAATTGTGCTCATGAGGAATCTGTACATGGACCAAGAGGCAGTTGTTCAAACATGGGAACACTGAATGATTTAAAATTTAAAAAGGTGTGTGGCAAGGTTGTATTCTTTCACCATACTTATTCAACCTGTATGCTGAGAAAATAATCCAAGAAGCTGGGTTCTATGAAGAAAAACATGGCATCAGGATTGGAGGAAGACTCATTAACAACCTGCGATATTCCGATGATACAACTTTGCTTGCTGAAAGTGAAGAAGACTTAAAATATTTACTGATGAAGATCAAAGAGCATACAGCCTTCGGTATGGATTACATCTGTGTCAAGAAAAACAAAATCCTCACCACTGGAGCAATAAACAACATTCTTATCAATGGAGAAAAGATTGAAGTTGTCAAGGACTTCATTCTTCTTGGATCGACTATCAACATTCATGGAAGCAGAAGTCAAGAAATCAAACGATGTATTGCATTAGGCAAATCTGCTGCACAAGATCTTTTTAAAGTGATGAAGAGCAAAGATGTCAGCTTGAGGACTAAGGTGCACCTGACCCAAGCCATGGTATTTTCAATAACCTCATACAGATGCAAATCTGGACAGTGAATAAGGAAGACCGTAGAAGAATTGATACTTTTGTGTTATGGTGTTGAAGGAGAATATTGAAAGTGCCATGGGCTGCCTAAAGAATCAACAAATCTATGTTGGAAGAAGTGCAGCCAGAATGCTCCTTGGAGGCCAAGATGGTCAAGCTTCCTCTCTCATACTTCAGACATGTTGTCAGGAGGGACCAGTCGCTGGAGAAGGATATCATGTTTGGTTGGAGGGTCAGAGAAAAAGAGGAAAACCCCCAAAGAGATGGATTGACCAAGTGGCAGCATCGATGGACTCTAGCGTGGGAATAATAGTGAGGCTGGCCCAGGATGAAGTAGTGTTTCATTCTGCTGTGCATAAAGTCGCTATGAGTTGGTACCAACTTGATGACACCTAACAACAACAACAATGATCTTGATTTTCTTGGAGTGGGGGTAAAGGGAAACGTGAAAGAGGCTGAGTTTCTACTTATGGCAGGTATTGTGCTAAAATGTTTAACGAAGTTTACCTTACTCTTTATTTCATAGTGCTGCTAATTGTTTATTTCATAGTGAAGCTAACTGTTGTTGTAAAGTGCAGTTCAGTCCATTCTGACTATATAGGGTTAGTAATCCAGTGCTTATCCTATAGTGCTACAGCAGGACTGCATACCAGTGATGCTAATTAGCATCTAGTATTTTGTAAGTTGGAGTCCCTGGGTAGTGGAAAGAGCTAAGGGCTCTACTATTAACTGAAAAAATTGTGATTTAAATCTATACAGAAGTGCCTAGGAAGAAAGACCTGGTGATCTGCCTCTGAAAAGTTGTTGTTGTTAAGTGTTGTCAAGTTTACAACCTTAAAAACCCTATAGAGTGCAGTTCTGTTCTGCACATGCAGCCACCATGAGTCAGGATTGACTCAATGACAACTGTTTTTGCTTGTTTTGCAAATTGGTGGAGAAGACCTACTGGATCCTGATTTTAAAGTGTGCAGTTTCCTAAGGAACTTTGCTTAGTGGAGGGAAGAAAAAGGACCTCACTCTTGTCTGCTCAAGTGGAGAAACAGGTCCACTATGTAGCCTTGATCATAATCCTCAAAAGGAAACAGATGCTTAAAATTTTTCTTGAAATTTGCACTGCCATTCCATTGGGGTTTTCTCTTAGTGGGGGAATGATGAAGGGATCAGTGAAAATGAACATGTTTTCTTAGTATCATGGAGTTGTAAAGTTACCAGGTAGATTTTCAGGTTCTGTGACTCTCCATCCCCACCCCTCAGCCCCGCATTCCCCTATCTTGCCCCATGCTGGAATACTCAGTAATCCTTTAAACAACGGACAGACAATGTGAGCTATACTTTAGAATTTTTTTCAGTATTTTGTTCTGGGTGATAGGAGTAAGGAATTAGGATTAGATTTAGGTCTATGGCTAGGTCTAGACTAGCCCTAGAATTTCATTTAATGTTAAGATTATGGAATAGGGTTTAGTCTAGTTTTTTCAATCTTATGAGCCATGTTGTTGTTGTGCTGTGAGTCAAGCTGGTTCTGACTCACAGCGACCCTATGCACAAAAGGACTAAACATTCCTATGCTATCCTCACTGTTGTTGCTACACTGAGCCCATGCTGCTGCCCCTGTGCCAATACATCTTATTGGAGGGTCTTCCTGTTTTTTGCTGACCCTCCACTTTAGTAAGCATGATGTCCTTCTCGAGGGAATGGTCCCTCCTGATAAAATGATAGAAGTTTGAGAGACCAAGTGTAGACATTCTGGCTTCTAAGGAGCATTCTGTCTGTACTTCTTCCAGCAGAAATTTGTTCTTTTGGGCAGTCCATAGTACTTTTAATATTCTCCTCTAACACCATAACTCAAATAAATCAATTCTTGTGTGATTTTCTTTAGTCACTGTCCCAACTTTCACATGCATATGAGGCTGTTGAGAATATCATGGCTTGGATCAGGCCGACTCGATGGCACCTAACAATAACAAATGGTTAGTGATTGTGAACGTTTCTTCATATGTTTGTTGGCTGCCTGGATCTCCTCCTTGGTGAAGTGTCTGTTCATGTTCTGTGTCTATTTATTAATTGGGTTATTTGTCTTTTTCTTGTAGAGGTGTTGTAGTTTCCTATATATTTTAGAATTGTCATACCCTTTTTCTCTTGCCTCTTAAGACTGTCATTGGCTCCTGCTATTGTTGCCACATTTTGGGGACCATTCCAGCATTAGGGATCACAGAGGGATCCAGGAGGGAGGCCCCTGTACTTTTCCTGTGAGTGCATTTTGACCCACTGATGCTACATCTAACAACCACTTCTTCATGCTGAGGACCATAAAAAGCCAGTAATTTATGAGTGAAATTTAAGTCCCTTGGGAAAGAATCTTCATCTAAGTAATATTCCACAGTAGGTCTGGGGTCTCCGATGTCAACCTTCTTCATTTCCTGGAGTACTTACGTTGTTAAGTTCATTCAGACTCCTGGTGAATCCATATATTACAACTGCCCTTTTCTTAGATTGTAAATCTGAATGGAAGCAGATTGCCAGAACTTTTCTTCCAAAGTACTACTGGGTAAGTTTGAACTACCATCCTACCTAGGGACTCTGGATCGCCTAGAAAACAGTTCATGACTGACATCCTGTTTGTTTTTTTACTTTTGTTCCTTTCTAGACAGATACCAGTCCTGCCACTCCTGCTGATTCAGCTACATTGCCTAGCAACCATTCAGCAGCCAGATCTGCCCGGTCCTTCTGTTCTCCAGGTGGCAGCCCACCATATCACACCACTTCACCTAGCAGGACACTGGAACCTGGTGTTAGTGGGCCATGGAATGAGATGAGGCCTCAGAAAATGAACACATCTGGGGCCCTATGCACCTTCTCCTCTGTGCATCGGCCCCCCTCCAAACCCTCAGGTAAAGCACAAAGGAGCAGTTGAGAAATAGGACCCATTGACAGAAATACATTCCTGTTCTGACCAGAGGATTTACACATTTCTCTGTTACATCCTTGCTCACAGAAGAGGATGAGATGAAGGAGCAGTGTCTTTAGGGGTCAGTCAGTGAATGAAATTCCAGCTCAGTGCTTCCTGTCATTCTCCTTGCCTAGGGACACACACTGGGCAGGAGAAGAAAGGGGTCAGGGCATGCTCAGGCACTGCTTTCCAGGGAAGATGAACTCCCTCACATTCATGTGCTCTCTTCTCTGTGCCAAGCTTTCTTAGGCCTAGATTTAGACTACTCTAGAATGTCAAACTCAGACTTCCATGGGGAGATCTTCCTCAGTTAAGAGCTTTTGTATTACTGAGACTACTTTTACATACATATATACATATATACTGTGTACCCATCATTACCCAGTTCTGCTCTCTCAAACTTTACTATAAGGTTAGAGGCAGACACCCTGGCTAGGTTCCTAACAACTATGTAAGGAAATGGCTTGAAATAGCTTAGTTCCTGTGTCCCAGACAGTAAGATATTTGAAATTCTCAATGGAAAACCTGGCCCTGAGCAAAATGTCATGAAACCTGTTCTTGGTTTCCTTGCCACCCTCTTTGTTACCTGTTTTCCTTCCTTGGAGGTCCTCCCTTTTCTCCTGTTCCATTTTATGTCCTGCCACTAGCCCAGATTCTTCCTTGTCCCTCTTACTAAAAGTGGCTAAAGGAAAAATGCTGTATCACTTATTATTCAACAGCTGAACTTATCATATATGCATTTGCCTAAGTCTTTCTCTCTTTGAGTGGGTGGGTGTTATAGGTTGTTCAGTCATAAATCAGTGGATTGGACAGCTATGAAGAACAGAAGTAGCTTCTCTAGATTTCGATGAAAATCACACCCAGGAATTAGCTAAGTTTTCCTGCTGCTCTTCACATACTGCGAAGCCTCTAACAGTTTCCCAGCCCTATACTCCATGCCAAGAAACTCTGGTAGCGTAGTGATTACGAATCGGGCTGGGAACCTCAAGGTCAGCAGTTCGGAATCACCAGCTGTTCTGTGGAAGAAAGATAAGGCTTTCTGTTCCGGTAAAGATTTACAAGCCTCGGAAACCCTGTGCAGGGTCGCTATGAGTCAGAACGGACTCCACGGTCCTTCACAATAACAACATACTCTATGCCAATGTCCACTTCCCTTAGATGCACAGGATTAAAAGCCCAGGGGCTCTTTTAAACAGAGTTGCTTAGTGTTCCTTGGATGTCCAGATGAGAGGATGAAGTTAACAGAAAAATAGGGATGGGCAGGAATCTTCCAGAAAGGCCCTGGGTAGGCTTCACACTTGTCCATGAGTGATCAGGCCTCCCCATCTCTCACGTTTTCCACGTCCTGGTGATATGCAACAGGGGCTGACCTGCTGGAAAAGAACCTTGTTGACATTCAAAACCTGCGCCAGCGCCTGGGAAAGTCTGTCAGCATCAATGATCGCTTGCAGGAGAGGCTGGAGCGTGTGCTTAGCAGTTCTGACCAAGGGAAAGGTAGGAAAGACCAAAATCATTGCTTTCTGTCCATATCCAGGGAGCTTGAAGGGGGACATGGACTCTTCACAATTTTAAGGCACATGGGTGTACGTCTGTTCCTTACAATCAGCCTAGAGAGGGAAGCAAAGCAGGTAATATTGTTCCCAATTTATAAATGAGGAAACCTAGGCTGCCTGACCTCTCATACCCATTCTTGTAACTCCTCATATTGCCTGCTGATGCTCCTCTATTTGTGGTCTGACTGGCACCTCCATGGTGTTCACTTCAGGAGAGAGAAGACCACATCCAGTTCTTCTGCTGCTACTGCCCTTTATTCCCACACTTTCTTGCATGAATGTCTCACTGAGACCAATTGTTCCACCCCTCCTCCTAGCCAAGCACAGAAGGATGACAAGGATACCTACAACATCACAGCAGCAACCAATTAGGGGGAAAGACCCTGTTCTCCATTGCATAGATAGTGCATATGAAAGTGTGTGGTTTGCTGTGTTGTGTCCAGCAAAAACTGAGCTATGCACAAGGCCCATAGAGTCTCTGCTCGGCTGTGATTGACACTTTGGTAGATACAGGCAAAAGTATATTTGAAAGCATCTGCCACCCAACTGTGTGACATGTCTGGTTGTTTTTATTCTATGGGATAGTATCCATGGACAGGACCTTGACCCCCACACCCCAGCTCTGTAACCATAAAAAGATTGTGGGAAAGATCCATTCTCTTTTCATTCCCTTTCTCCACAAACTTTTTCAAATCCCGTCATACTTTCAGGATAGCAAATTGGATTTTTCAGATTTATGGGGCAAAGCCCAAGCTGAGGAGACAAAAACAGAGAGAAGGGTGGGGAGGGCCGAGACCAACACAGTCCAAAATTGTAAGTTATTCTCAATCTAGATAAGGCTGCTACTAAAGAGGTCCCAACTACATGTCTTACCCACATGCATGGTTCTAAGACCCCTAGGAAATTCACATTTAATGTATAACCCTTTTCTCCTATCTTTGGAGATAACCAGAGGCCTCTAGCTTTAATTGTTATTGTTAAGTGCCATCCAGTCGATTCCTACCCTGTACAGGGTTTCCAAGGAGCAGCTGGTGAGCTTGAACCACCGATCTTGCAGTTCAAATGACTTCACAGTCTGATGCATTAGCCCACAGCACAAAGCTAGCTTAGTGTCTCACTCCCTTTCCCACTTCCATCTGCCTGTGACCCAGTAGGGGAAGGAATGTCAGTTTCTGTTTGGCACAATATGTAAAGAATTATTAGGTCCTCCAGACTTCATTGCATCTCTGTCTCTCTCTTTCAAGGTATTGCACAATCAGCCTCAGATTTCCTTGTAACCCCTCATTCATACACCCAGAGTCACTGTCCTGGCTCTGATCAAGAATTTCTATGAGGTAATGCCTGAAGGGTCTGACAGAATGTTATCCAGAACTTTTCCAGTCTTATCCCATAGCATTCTTCAGTGTGCAGATCATTTCCAGTGTGGACTGGAAGCTATCAGACATTACTTTCATTTTCCAAGGATCAAACTAATAAATTACTGTTTAAAATTTATTGTTCACATTTATTTATTAAAATCTAACCCTAATAAAAGTCATGTGGTGGTAGTGGTTGTTATGTGCCGTGGAGTTGGTTCGTCCTAGTAGTGACCCTGCTATAGGGTTTCTGAGGCTGTAAATTTTTACAGGAGCAGAAAGCTTCATCTTTCTCCGGCAAAACAGCTGATAGATTAAACTGCAGAGTTTGAGATTAGCAGCCCAACTTGTAAATGGCCTTAAGGTTGTGAGAAAGGTTTACAGAAAAATAAGTGTTCTTTACAGTTATTTCTGTTCCAGAAGTCTAGAAAAGCGAGACCCCTGCTGGAAGAAGGTGGGAAATACTAATGTTGGTAAGTGCCATTGGGTTGGTTCTGATGATAGTTGATTCTGTATAGGGTTTCTAACTTTGAACTGCCAACCTTATGGTTCAAACTGACCTTGTGGTCCAGTGATTTATCCTATGTCACCACATTGGGCTGTTATTATTTCCTATTACATGCATTGAAAAAACAGAAACGCTATCCCTTGTAAAACGATTGGTGTTAAGTGCTGTTGAGTCAGTTTCAACTCATAGAGTCCTTGTCTGGGATTTCCCTTATCTTTAAAACCTCATCTTTTCCTGTGGAGCTGCTGGCAAGTTCGAACCATGGACCTTGTGGTTCACAGTCTAGTGCTTATCCTATGGAGCCAGAAAATATGAATGCTTTAAATGAGCAATTTGCCAGATCCAGGCGAACTCCATTCAAAAGAAGGGCATAGCCTTCTTTTCAGTGAACATTAAGAAGTCATAAAGATCAATCACAGATTTGCCTTCAGCCTAAAAATAGCAAATTTTCAAAAGTGATAGAAATAATGTATTTTAATATCTATAGGAGTACATTTTATTTGATCTTTTATAATTTGAGAGTAAATTAATGTCCATTAAACAGCTATGTGATCACCTAGGAAAGATGGGTAATGATACCCAGAACAAGTGCATCAGGAGCAAGTAAAGCCACACTCAATTAGCAAATCAAAGGAATTGCTCAGGTAAACCAAGGGATGTAAATTAGGCCCATATGCTCTACCTGTAAATTAGGCCCATATGCTCTAACTCCGTTTTAAGAGTACTTCTGGTAGTAACATTTTTCTCTAAGAGATATAGTCTAACCTAGACTACTTGGAACATGATGAGTGAAAAGAATAGTTTATGAAGGAAAGTTATCAGACATCTTAGTTAACTGGTGGTGGTGAATATGTGCTGTGGAGTTGGTTCTGACTCATAGCGACTCTGTACAGGGTTTCTGAGGCTGTAAATATTTATGGGAGCAGAAAGCCTCATGTTTCTCCCAAAGAATAGCTGGTAGTTTCAAACTGCTGACCTTAAGGTTAGCAGCCCAACTTGTAACCAGTACACTACCAGAGTCCTTCTTAGTTATCCAGTGCTGCTATATCGGAAATACCACAAGTCGATGACTATAGCAAACAGAAATTTATTCTCTCACAGTTTAGGAAGCTGGAAGTCTGAATTCAGAGCATTGATTCTGGAAGAAAGGTCCTTGTCTCCTTTCAGCC